AAAGAAAAAAAAAAAAAAGAAAGAAAGAAAGAAAGAAAGAGAAAAAAGAGAAAAGAAAAGAGAACGAAACAAAAAAAGAAAATGACATCCACTACTTCCACAACGACAACCAAAACCACAACCCCACCAGCCAAAAAGAACAAGAATATTCCAGCAGAATCAGCCCTGGACCTCAGCGCCAACTTCGCCAACAACCGCAAAGGAGCCGTGGGCTATGACCACGAGGTTTACCTCCAACTAACGGCGGGGAGGAACGCGGAGAAGACGCCGAATCAGATGTATCGGGAGGTAAGGTTGATTGCTTCTTTTTTCTTCTTTCAAGGACGGGATTTTTTTATCATCTACAATATGACGTGTCCCCTCATGGATTGAATTTGTATTTTCTTGAATAGGAACGTGTTCGCCAGAGGACTACGAGGGCTTTGGATCCGGCGATTTTGGATCCACAGGGGGAGCCTGGGCCGGTGGATTTCGAATGTGCAGAGCATGAGGGAGTTAAGGAACGGTTGAGGTAAATTGGATTTGGGCTTCTGCATTGCATTACTGTTGGTTCTTCTTCTAAGGGTGTTTGTTGGTGCGATTGGTTTATGGTATCTGCAAAGAAGATAAAGCTATAATGCCGGGTTGTAAGCTACGATAACGTAAACTGTCATGGAGCAGTGGCAGAATGGTCGTGAAAAGGCGAGCAGGGTAGAGATAATAAATCGAAGCGGACAAGAGGAGGGGGCGCATATAAGAAGAAACATAAATCACTCGTTCATGTCACATCAAAGATATCATCCACGCACTCATCGTGTTGCAATGCTTTCCTGAGGGGCGGATCCTTCGTGATTCTCATCTAAATCACCTTCCATCTCCGCAACGAACCTTTCCCATGTATTCAACACTCCTTGGTAGAAGTCAATATGTTTCTCGGCCAGCGCTCCGAGAGTGTCCCGGAATTCAACTGCCTTGATTCGCTCGAAATCCGCAACTTCACGGACTACCTCTTCATCGAACATCTCTGACGTGGTCTTAGCAGATTCTACCTCGCGAGTCAGTTCGTCGATGCGCAGCTCTAATTTCCGGACCCGCTCCCGGCGTGACTGTTCATGGTCGACACCGCGCATATCTTCCATCTTGGAGCGGATGAAGGATGCAGGCGATGAGGTCAGGGGATTTGAGGCATAGTAGGATGATGGGTTAGTAGCGAGCGAGTCGCGCTCGCTCACGGCTTTGTTGCGGTAGTCCACTAAGGCTTCAAAGTCGAGTTGCTTCTGCTCACGGGTTTTCAGAAGCGCCTTAAGGGACACGATGTAGGCCTCCATATCCCGAAGAGAGCCAAGGTAGTTCTGATCCGTGTGATCTTTGAGGCCTTTAAGTCCGCGTCCCGTCTCCTCCACCGACGCCGCGAATACTTGTAACGGAACTTCGACATTTGGCTCCAGGGATACCAGCTTGCGGAATTGTGTCGCGAGCTCATTATAGTCGGTCTCTAAATCGGACTCGCGCCGAGCAACCCTGGCGACGATTTTCTCTACGTGATTGAGATCTTCATCCAGTTTATCTGCCTTCTCCCGAACCTCAATGAACCGGCGATCAGGCTTGTGGACTTTTGTAAACGCATTTACGAATGTATCGGTAAAGTTGTCAAAAATCCCGGGGGCGCCGCTGTTGTCCGATGGATTGGTGGTCGTGCGAGAGGTGTGAAGCCGCATATGCGCATTCCAGTCGGGAGATTCTAGGAAGATAGCAAGCAAAGGAGCCCGGCGAAGCACCGGATGTAATGCCAAGCGCTTTAGGAATCGATGTAGTGACCAAGCACGTCGTGTAGTGAATTCGGGCCCGAACCGATCCCCCCGTACGTATTCCATTTTATGCTTGTCTGGTAGAGGTGGGACCGCGCAGGCAGGATATTCACGATAGAGCGTCTTGTATAGGAAGAAGAAATCCGTAAATCGTCTGCGCACTGCAAATTCTGACCTCTGGAAGGACTTGAAATCGGTCTGCGATGCCGCTCCGGTCAGTAACAGTGGACTGCAGCTGGGGATGGATCTCCCGGTCTGCCATGAACAAGCCGGAGGTAACTCCCGGGAAACGGGGCAACTCACTTGTGTTGTAACCAAATAAGAGATATATGCGTCTTTAGTACCATCATTCTCTTTCAGGGGCGAATCCACTCGGCATTCCAACACCCCGTCTCCAATACCTGCTAGATCGACCGCATCTGCCAGTGGCCCGGCTTGTGGGTTTTCGTGAGCTGAGCTCATCCTCCGCTTGCCATTGGCATCGTGGCTAATCGCAGGCGACTCTTCGGCATCAGTGCCCGAAGTGGTAGGACGAGAGATATCGCTCTCTGGTTCGTGTCTCCACGAAACATTGTCAAAGTCGTCGTGCTGATCCATCGAGGGGTTGCCGTTAGGGAAGCGGCCGCTTAACACAGTTAATTGTACAAGTCAAAAGAAACCTGCACACAATTTATATCACCCGAGAGACTAGATATAGCGGACCTCGGGATATGAGGAGCTATGGTTGCTGGTGGTAGATCGATAAATGGGAGGTTGAGAAGTTGCGGAGGCAGCAGTGGAGCAGTCAATTGGCGGCAGTTGGAGAAGCGGACGCACAGCGTCATCGGCCCAAGCGCCAAGACTGGCTTATCCAGCAACACTATCAACCCCCATTCAACTTATCAGCGCGCTTTGCAACAGTTACGATGCCCTTATGCATGTCCTTTATGGGTCTATTTTGTCAAACCAAGTCAAAATTATATACAGCAGCCTTCGTTCAACATCAGTAATTCACAAGATCCACGTAACACATCTCATCCGATATAGCCGAAACGCGCCGCAAGAGTACCATTATAGGATAGAAGCAAATGCAAGTCTAGTCCATACTATGACCGAGCATGGTCACCACTTGTGCTCCGTCGCCGTTCGCGATCTTCATTCAGGGCATGGTCCCTATAAGGTTCACCCTCATCATCGCTAAACAAAGGTTCTTCGTCGCTTTCTCCAGCGAAAGCATTGTAAAGCTCGCCTCCCCGGCGTTGTGTACGACCCGAACGCCCGTTCATAGCCTGCGTTTCATCCTCATCTTCTATCATTTCGAAATCGTAGTCATCACGCGGATCATTACGCAGACGCTTTCGTCGCTGTACGTGGAAGTAGACCCCAAGTCCAATACAGAACACAATGATCGAACTGATCGCAGCGTAAATCCAAGCCTGGGTTCGTTTAGACGCACCGAACGTGGGGAAGAAGGACGGCAAAAAGCTATCCGCCGAAGAGGTAGTAGACGGGGATCCAGTAGAACTGGGCTTCGTCGAGGTGGGAAGTTCGGATGTCTCTTGGGCAGGAGCCTCTGAAGGTATCGTTGGTTGCACAGATGGCTTTGCGTTCACAGGACGATCGACGGGATCAGTTGGGACAGGCAGACCTTCAGTCTTAGTTGGGACAGGGTCGACGCTAGTGGTAGCAACAATGGCATCCTCAATCGAATGGTCATCGTCATGCTCATCAGGCATAGGATGAAGGGGCTGGCTGGAGCCGTCGATAGAAACTCCCCAGAGGTTCAGCCGCCAATCGATGAATTCGCCAACATCGTCATTAACATTGGTATCCTTAACAATGACCGTCCACTTTCCAACACCTGATTCACCCCTAAGTGGCAATGTCAGAGGGCCGAGTTCGAGAACTAAAGTACGGGGGCAAATACATACCAGTGAGCCACAGTCATAAATGTCCAATCTTCATAGCCAGCCTTTGCATTGTCTGACCGTCGTGCTGTACTCAGATGACTGACGATACCCTCGGGGCTGCGCAACTCCACGCTGATATCGCCTCGACGAGTGTGATTTACATTCATGGTCACAGTGACATGTTCTAACTTCTCGACATTGGCCTGGTACATCATATCCTTGGTAATCTCGTATGAGCTGGCAAGACCCTGGTCACCTTGTGGGATTTCATGCTTTACTCGCAGCCACGGTGAGTGGAACCACGCCTGTGGTTTCACCAGCTCCCACGTCTTGGCCAGCTGGACCAGTGAATATGCATCTACTTTCCCAAAACCCCAGTCATGGCTAAACTTCTTCCCCATTTTGGTAGTCTGCCAACTCCCGTCGTCTTCGTGGACCGGAACTGCGGTCTCTATCATCAGGTACTGGGCGTCTCGCCAAGTTAATTCCGGTCGGGCACTAAGAGCGAGGGCTATAGTACCCGCAGCGAGCGGGCCTGCGGCAGAAGTTCCGCCGTGAAGTGAATAGCATTTATCAGTTCCAACGTCGGTGGTATGAATCGCGTCACTCGAGCCACTGCTATAAGCGACGACCAACTGGGCAGAGCATGATTCCGAGTAGCTGGGATGTTTGCCCTCTCGATCAATAGCACCGACGGTGATGCTGTAAATGCTGTTTGTGTAACCATCGAAATTGCAGTTGTCATCGTAGCCTGCACCATTTCCAGCTGCAAAAACGAAAATAGAACCTTTGCCTCCTCGGCCATTTTGGATACCGTTAACCATAGCTCGTTTGATAAGAATCCCTGGCGCCTCCATTGTGGCGCCATCATCCGGAGGGCCCCAAGAGCATGAATAAATATCATTGCGCTGAAAGCCGTAGTTGATGGCAGCAGCCTCATCTGCGTCGTCAATGGGTGCGGACAAGATCCGAATTCCCGCTACTTGGCTGTCGTAGGCAACGCCTACTCCACAGACATCATTCCTAGCTGCTCCAATTTCACCAGCGCATCTTGTGCCGTGTCTATCATCACTAAGTCGCGGTCTGGGCTCCGGTACATGGTCGTTGAAATCGTAGGAGCCCTCAGCAAAGTAGTTGGGTTTAAGGTCATTGCTGTACATGTCCAGTCCGTCATCGACCACAGCCGTGATGACACCTTTTCCCGTGATACCTTCTAACCAGACGTCCGAAACATTGAGATCATGACCAACTTGGACAGTGTTGTAAAGATGCCACTGTCCGCCGAATATGGGATCGGCAATCCCAAGTGAAGAAGCAATCCGTTTCTGAGCCTGAGCAGCTACGGGGTCCTCTTCTTTCACAGAACCCCTCGATGCCACGTCTGCGGGAGGAGCCCTCTTTACTAGTCGCTGCTTTGGGGCTAACTTTTGAGACCAGAGTATACCACTCAAGTCTCTTTCCCTTTTCTCCAATGCCATGTCACGTCCCTCTCCGACACGACTTGACCTTTTCCTGATCCGTGCATGTTCGAGTAGCGCATCGAGGTCTGCACCGTTCTCCTTGGGTATAGAGAAGGTATGGTGTTGTGTGAGTTCCCCTACTTGACCCTCATGGCGTGCTCCGAGGCGTTGAGAGACCTCGTCGGGGGAGGTGGAGTCGTCAAGATGAAGAGCAAAGAAATCGCGCGTCTCGTAGGACCGTCGAGGATGGACTGATGCCGTCGCGGCACAAAAAAGGCCGAACGCTACTGTTGCACTTTCGGAAAGCCGCATTATGGGAGTAGCGTGAAGCGAGATGGGCCCCTATCAGTACTAGTAAGGCGAGATGAGGACAAATAAG